GAGGGGATGGTAGGGGAGGGGTGGTGGTGTAGGGGAGGATGGTGGTGGGGGAGGGATGGTGGTGTAGGGGAGGGATGGGTGGTGGGGAGGGGGTGGTGGAGGGGAGGGGGTAGGGGAGGGATGGTGGTGGGGAGGGATGGGTGGTGGTGGGAGGGGTGGTGTAGGGAGGGGTGGTGTGGGGGAGGGATGGTGTGGGGAGGGGATGGTGGTGTAGGGGAGGGGATGGTAGGGGAGGGGATGGGTGGTGGAGGGGTGGTGGGTGTAGGGGAGGGTGGTGGTGGGGGAGGGGATGGTGGTGTAGGGGAGGGATGGTGTAGGGGAGGGATGGTGGAGGTGGTGGTGTAGGGGAGGGGTGGTGGTGTAGGGGAGGAGGTGGTGTAGGGAGGGATGGTGGTGTAGGGGAGGGGATGGTGGGTGTAGGGGAGGGATGGGTGTAGGGGAGGTGGTGGGTAGGGGAGGAGGTGGAAGGGCATGGGAGGAGGTGATTGTGTAGGGGAGTGATTGCAGGGAGGAGGTGATGGTGTAGGGGAGGTAGGAGGGCATGGGGAGGAGGTGAAGGTAGGGAGGAGGATGGTGTAGGGGAGGTGTAAGGGCATGGGAGGAGGTGAGTGGGTGGGGAGGAGGTGATGGTAGGGGAGGGGTGTAAGGGATGGGGAGGAGGTGATTGTGTGGGGGAGGGGAGGATGGTAGGGGAGGGGTGTGGGTATGGGAGGAGGTGATGGTGGGGAGGAGGTTGTGGGAGGAGGTGATGGGGTAGGGGAGGAGGATGGTAGGGGAGGGGTAAGGGTATGGGAGGAGGTGATTGTAGGGGAGGGTGGTGTAGGAGGAGGTGTAAGGGGATGGGAGGAGGTGATTGTGTAGGGAGGGCTGGTAGGGGAGGGGTGTAAGGGTATGGGGAGAGGTGATTGTAGGAGGAGGTGGTAGGGAGGGGATGGTGGTGTAGGGGAGGGGGGTGGTGGTGTAGGGGGAGGGATGGGGTGTAGGGGAGGGAAGGTGGTGTGGGGAGGGAGTGGTGGAGGTGGTGGTGTGTAGGGGAGGGGTGTGGGAGGGACAGGTAGGGGAGGGGATGGGTGAGGGTGGTGGTGTAGGGGAGGGGTGGGGAGGGATGGTGGTGTAGGGGAGGGGGTGGGGAGGGATGGTGGTGTAGGGGAGGGATGGGTGGGAGGGGGTGGTGGTGGGAGGGGTGGTGGTGTAGGGGAGGATGGGTAGGGAGGGATGGTGGTGTAGGGGAGGGGGTGGTGGTGGAGGAGGTGGTGGTGTAGGGGAGGGGTGGTGGGTGTAGGGGAGGGGATGGTGGTGTAGGGGAGGGGATGGTGGTGTAGGGGAGGGATGGTGGTGTAGGGGAGGGATGGTGGTGTAGGGGAGGGGTGGGCGGTGGAGGGTGGTGGTGTAGGAGAGGATGGTGTAGGGGAGGGTGGTAGAGTGGTGGGAGGAGGCATTGAGGGTGGTAAGGATTGAGGGCGGGGAGGATGGTGGTGTAGGGGAGGTGGTGGTGGGAGGAGGGTGGTGGTGTAGGAGGGTGGTGGTAGGGAAGGTGGTGGTGTAGGGGAGGGTAGGTGGTGTAGGGGAGGGTGGTGTGTAGGGGAGGTGGTGGTGTAGGGGAGGGATGGTGGTGTAGGGGAGGGGGTGGTGGAGGAAGGTGGTGGGTAGGGGAGGGGTGGTGGGTGGGAGGGTGGTGGTGTAGGGGAGGGGTCGGAGAGAAGGTGGTGTAGGGGAGGGGGTGAGAAGGTGGGGGGGAGGGAGAGACGGGTGGGTGGTAGGGGGAGGTCGAGAGAAGGTGGTGTAGGGGGGGGTGTGAGAGAAGGTAGGGGGAGGGGGGGAGAAGGTGTAGGGGAGGGGGTCGTGAGAGAAGGTGGTGTAGGGGAGGGGGGGTGAGAGAAGGTAGGGGAGGGAGAGAAGGTGGTGTAGGGGGAGGGGGGGGAGAGAAGGTAGGGGAGGGGCGGAAGAAGGTGGGTGTAGGAGGGGGGCGGAAGAGGTGGTGTGGGGGAGGGGTCGAGAGATTGTGTGTAGGGAGGGGGTGAAAGGTGGTGTAGGAGGAGAGAAGGTAGGGGAGGGGGCGTGAGAAAGGTGGGTAGGGGGAGGGGAGGGAGAGAAGGTGTAGGGGGAAGGGGGGAGAGACGGTAGTGTAGGAGGCGGAGAGAGATGGTGGTAGGGGAGGGGCGTGAAAGAAGGTGTTGCAGGAGGGGGCGTGATAGAAGGTGTGGGGGAGGGGCGGAGAACAGGTGGTAGGGGAGGGGCCGTGAGAGAAGGGTTTGTAGGAGGGGGATAGAAGGTGGTGTAGGGGAGGGGGACGTGAGAACAGGTGGTGTAGGGGAGGTGGCGTGAGAAAAGGTGGTGGGAGGGGGCGTGAGAGAAGGTGGTATGGGGAGGGTCGAGAGGATGTGGTGTGTAGGGGAGGGGGTCGTGAGAGAAGGTGGTGTAGGGGGAGGGGGCGTGAGAGACGGTGGTGTAGGGGGAGGGGGGCGTGAGAGACGGTGGTGTAGGGGGAGGGGGTTCTGGGACGTACTAACAGTAAGGAGGCAATTCACACGTATCGACAATTGGACGAAGAAACCTCATTAATACAGAGACCGAGTGTAAGGCCTGGGTTTGTATGTTGAAAACGAACTGAAGTTCTCGGGCCATTGTGAGAAGGCAAATCATGCAACTAAACTAGTAAGTCTTATAAGAAGATTGTATCGCTCTTCAAGAGTGAGGTGCTTCCCCGTTTGGAGGACTGTCACGTCGTCTGGTCTCCGAGATATACTACAGACTGTTAATTGATTGAAAATTTCCAAAGGATGGCCACCAGACTGGTGCCTGCACTATGGCACCTGAGTTACCCAGAGAGATTAGAGCGCCTGCAACTGCCTAGCTTATACTATAGACGGGCTGGCAGACGCCCGCCCCACAAGGGGTGGGTCACAGACTCACAGCTCAAGGTTGAAAAAGCCTCAAGTCCAGAAAATTGCGAGGAAAACTTTTTCGGAGTATTGTGACGGCATCGAGTGTGAGCTCTTTCACTGGCGCAGGTTTTGATTCATTTTGGAGCCAGTACATCCTCAGTATTTGCCAACAGTGCGTAACAGAGACGTGACCGATCGCTCGAACGCCTAATGAATTGATCAGTCATTCAGTGGCGAAGAGGATAAAATTAAAGTGTAAAGTAAGTTTCCTGCAATTCATTGTTAGCTCTGTAGCTCTGAAGTTGTACTGTACTTTTTTCTTAAATTTGGTCACCAATAAACTGGCGAGCAGAATATAATATGTGAAAAAATGGTGCCATTGCCAAGTCTGTTACCACTTATAAATACTGTGACTTTCTGTTTGTCACTACTAAAATTGTAGCATATTAAAAAACTGCAATAAAGTGCATTGATTAACTCTCTAAAAGATTTTTGTTCCTATTAAATTGTATAAAACTGATGTAAAGCTGTAGCTACCACAATCGCTCTTACTGAATAACCTGAGGGATAATATTCCTTTAAGTAGGCAAATAATTATATTTTGCTGCAAAAAAATCAATGTTTTGCTTTGATAAGTTATCCCTATATATCCAAAGTGGACATCAATAACCTACTGACTTGTACAAATTGTTTTTCTTGAATAATCTGGTGTTATAGCACAATATCATGTAAAAACGCTATTGGTTGAATGTGTTAACTGTTTTACTTGCTGGCCTCTTGGCGACGCCACCTTGGGGCGTGAACTCGTTTGCCCATTTGAACGAGCTATCTTGCTATTGTTGGGTCACGTGATATTATGTTGTCTAGCACTCGGGATGGATGGAAACTCTAGGTGGTGGTTTTCTTATATAAAATATATTATATATGCAGCGCCCGGAGGGGAGGGGAGGGGGAGTATTGTAATGGAGAGATCCACTACACTATAATCTCAGAATCCTTGTTAATATCCAAAAATAATATAATTGGCGATGTTCTGCGTTTCTCTTTGCTGTAAAACTTTGAGGCTCGATTTTCTTATAAAAAAGTGTAGACTCGTTACTGTCTTATGCAACTTCTCATATACAGTGTAGGAATTCGTGTTATAACGTTGTCTAGCACTCAGGATGGATGGAAACTCTAAGGTGGTTTTCTTGTATAATATAAGTTATATGATAGACAGTCTGGTGCTGGAGGTGCCGTGTGGTGAGGGGCTGCTCGGTAGAGACGTTCGGTGAGTAGCGTGTTGTAGGAGGTAGATGTGCAGGAGCTTCGTTAGAGAAGATGTTGCCTGTTGCTGGCCTCCTGGTTGAATGAATGCTGACAGCGTGGAGCTTGCTGGAGGAGGTGTTGCTTGTTCAGGAAGATGGGCAGAATGAATCTCAATGGAGAGACAGAGCTTATATACCCAGCAGCCGCGAGTCCTCTATGAGTCATGTTGGGAAAACCCGAGAAAGTCGCCTGTCACTAGTTTCGTTGCTAAGTTACCGTACCATCTGCTGTCGTCGCTCGCTTGGTTGCTAGGATACGGCGGCGCATCGGAATGCGGATAGCAGTTGTAGGGGAGACGTCCACTACAACAGTATATGCATTTCTATTTAATTCATCTAGTCATGTAGTGGAGGTAAACTGAAAATACTGTTCATCTGTCAGTCTTTGGTTGTTTGTGTGCGAGAAAACCTCCCTCAAGAAACAAAGTGGTTTCGATGAAGTTGTTGTAAGGAAGTAATACAATATATTTGATAATTTTTTTTTTTTTCAGGATCTGGATTAGTTATTCACAATATTGTCATTATTCAGTTGTGAAGGAACATGAGCACCAGGATGTTTTGCTACTGTAAATTTCCTCCTGTAAGGGAACCTTCACCTACTTGATATTGTTAAATGTTTTGTTTTTGTGTTCACTTGTAGCTATGTGCGCAGTTAAGAGTTAAAGTATTCAAGGAGTTGATAAGTTTACTATGATAAATAAAAATAAATATCAACAAGTACTTTATACTGGAGATTATGCCTGTAAATAAAAGTCTACATAATTTAAACATTAAGGTTACATCCACTAAACCAACTGTCTCCCTGCAGCCATATGTGACCCCCCTTGCATGAACGAGGGCAAGTGCATCGTTCCCAATGTGTGCCAGTGTACCCCAGAGTACCGTGGTGACATCTGCCGTTACCGTGAGTCTATTGCTATACAGTACTGTACTTGGTCTCCCTTGTCTACCTCGCATTAATAACATCATAAAGCTTCTCTATTTTTTTCTCCTTTTTTGGTGTTTTAGTAACTAATATTTTTTTTAGCTTTGAAGATGTTTGCTAATTAGACTTGTTACCAATAAGTCTTAAAAATCAATTACAACATTATCGATCCTCACAGAGATTCTCTTGCAGACATCTCAACCTGCGACCCTAAGAACCTCAAATTTAACGGAAACTTTAACTGCTCTGGAGAAGGTATGATGTTTGGGTGTGTGTTGACCTGCCCACTTGAAGTGGAGTTTACGTTTCCTGCGACATCCTTCTACAGCTGTGACTATTCCACCGGCGTTTGGTCCCCATCACCCGTACCCTTGTGTGACTACAGTAAGTTCAAACATCATGATGAGTTTTTAAAAACACTTGAAGAATTTATTTTAAACTTAAGTAAACTGTGTATTGCTGTAAATATTAGTGATGAATTTCAGCAACAGAATTGGGTCTCAGTAATGATAGTAAGATATGTTACAAAAGACAGACAGTACACGGGTCGCATACTCAAAAATATTTACGGGACTGTATCTCTTTGTTTACCCTGTAACTGGACTTACAGTCTTCGATCGGTATACTCAAAACAAATATTTGTCAGTGGGCTCAGTAAGTGAGTTTGTATTCGAGGCCATAACTTACAGCACCTCCTTAGGCGCTGTAACATGCTCAACCCGGATATAGGAAGTCGCTTTTTCCCGATTGCACAAAAAATTAATAATATATGTTGTAATGCTTGTTAGACTTGATTTATCATCGAATAATGAAGAAAAAATTTTGTACATCAACATACTAAAATATGACATTACAGTTTGTATTTCTAGTTACTTTTTTTTTTACGATAAGGGGAGGCTTGAGTGTGTTTATATTTGTCACAGAATGGAAGAGACGCATCATTTGTCTTCTTACAACTTTTCAAGTAATTTGTACCAAAATAGAAGAATTATGATACAAATATTTTTTTATGACTGAGTAAACTTGCAGATAGACCTCATTAATATGGTATAGCCGTAGATGTCCGTCAGCAATGAAAGCCAAATACGAAGTCATGTGAACATTATTACTTAGACTTCGCCTTTGCTAAGACCAACTTATAATAAGCTATTCTATCAAGTATCCAGGAAGTACCCATGACTCAGAGTTAAATAATACCTAACACAATCTAAGTTTATCAAACCTAATAAAAAACGGAGTTAAAATTAACAGTGGTAGAGCAACATTTAATTGGAAAAATAATTGTTCAGATGTTTTTATCTGATACATTCAGTAGTGATTTTTTTTCGCGACAAAATTTGTGAAATGTATCTTAGCCTTACAAAACATAACCTTTCCTAATCTTACCTTACCTTATCCGACCTAACGTGACCCTACCTAACCTAACCAAACCTAACGTCACCTAACCTAACCTAACCTAACCTAACCTAACCTAACAAAGCCGCAATGCACATGATAAACAATTATGCTCTCTAGAAAAATGTCAATATCTTTAAAAAAAAATACATTTGCAGAGATAACAAACTTTTATAATCATTTCTCCAACATATCTATAAATCTGTTGATGATATATAAAGGTAACTTAGGATGCCACTATTGTGTATTATAACCTTTGATTATCTCTGTGAATGGATTATAAAAAAGAAAAGGTTAGGTTAGGTAAGGTTAAGTTTGATAAAGGTTAGGTAAAGTTAGGTTAGGTAAGTTAGGTATATTGAGGTTAGGTTAGGTAAAGGTTATATTAGGTTAAGTTAGGTAAAGGTAAGTTTGGTTAGATTAGGTAAGGTAATGTTACGTGATGTTAAGGTGACCATTGTCCTCAAGTATTATTCAAAGATAATTCCATCTTCACTGATGACGCTTGAAGTAAATTTAGTAACTATCACTTGAATCGATCTCGGCTGATTTCTCCTTTTGTGATTGGTTGATGATTTTGTTAGCTGGCGACGATTGGCCAACTAGCTCATGCACTGCCATCTACTTTCGGAAAAGCGAAGTGAATTTACAGTGTAAACACTAGAGTTACAGACTGCTTACGGACCCGTAATTAAATGTTGAGTATAAGAAATTTACGGGACTGTAAGGCGTCTGTAAGTTGCGGTACTGTATCTCTGCTACTGTACAAAACTGACGAGGCATTTTTAGTATGCAGCCTCTGGGTTCCAAAATGCTCAAGTTTGAAGTTGAGTTTTGAAATCCTGTAGCGAGATGGGTGTCACTCCACTAAGTTGGGCTCATGCAGTTGAAATTTGTAGGAAGAGAAAGAATTCTGTTTGACAAGTGACCAGATTTTATATGCCTGTAAACTGGAGTGTGTGTCAGTATGGTGTTTTCTATATATTGTATTAGTACGGCTCACTGTGCTCCGAGTTTGACTGGCGTTCAGTTTTTTGGCGAGATTTTCAAACCAATACATTTTGTAAACCAGAAAACCAATGTTTCCATTTTCCCGGAAGTATGTATGGTTGCCATCTTTGATTATCAAAAATGATCACCAGCGAAAGCATTTTTTCAATATTTCAGCTTCTAAGCCACCATGAGTCTTGATTATAATAACTAAACCTACATTATCAGGACAAAGACTCCAGTGGTACCAAGTACAATGTTTTATACTTAGTCAGCATTATTAAATAATTACATCTAAATATCCTTAAAGGAAAGCCTATCAGCATAATAGAACTCAGTATGATTAGACAAAATCGTTTACTGTGAAACATTAATCATAATCATCACCATTATCACTCTCGTCAATGTAGTGTCCCGAGAATCTTCATCATTCTTGCACTTTGTGCTGCACAGCCAGAGATCTGTTCATGTTAAGTCCTTTGATCTACAAGAGCATCTGGAAGAGGAACTATCTCCTCTGCACTGGCATCTAACCATCTCGGTGATAGCCTTAAGGGCTGAGAGGACCTCCGTAGGCATCGGCTTCACTTGACCATCGGTGTCCTTGTAGAAGCCATGAAGTGGATCCAGGATCTCCTGCTGAGCGATACTTGTCTGACCCCATACTCTAGCCTGGTCATGTACTCCCAGGATCTCTTTCTTAAGAGTGCCAAGGGTACGAGAAAGCTGTGACTTTCAGACAAGTGCTTGCAAGAAAGATGCCATTGCAGTTCAGGGATGCTCTCAATCTGGATGCGTTTTGGTGAGTATGCAGCACACACGAATGCAGCTAATGTGGACAGCATTTTTCAGTCACGTCAGGGGCCTCTGTAAGCATCCGTAGAGCCTTGATGACATATTCAACCTGCTGTCAGCCAGGTTTTTTTGCCAATTCTAGAGAAGCTCCTAGTGTTGTCTGCCCCTGTGAATGCATGGAAGTGTCTGGAGAGAAGAACACCAGGTGTGCATCAGATGGGTTTCGGTGTGATGCCAGTACTGCCAGTTGGACCAGCAGTGTTTCAGCTTCTTCATCGTTGTTCCCTTTTCTCCTATCTGTCCTGCAGCAGACGTGAGGATCAGCTTGGCAAAGTCCTTGTTGTATCCTATGCTTTTTGCTCCAAGGTGATCGGTGAGATCAGCCTTTGTTTTGCCATGGGAAAGGAAGCGGCTCATGGGGATGTGTTTTGATGTGTGTGTCATCTTTGATTTGATACTGGACTGGGTGCTTTCCTTGTCTCCTTTTCAGCTTGTAGGTATCAAACCTGAGAATGATTTCATCACAGTCTCTTATTAGAGATATATCATTCTGTCATTGAAGCAGCCACTGAGATCTTTCGCTGCCATTGTTGTTGCAAGCTTCTTTATCAGTTTCTGCACAATCACTATACCATCCACAATTGGAATTTTCCGGCTGGGATTGGGATCTTCACTAGATGTGGAATCGATGGTTTCGATGTCCATTGCATCTTGCTGCTGGATGCTTACAGTGTGGGTCTGTTGTTGATCTTCCAGGGATATTTCAGCTGTTCCTAACTTCTCGAGATGGCGGATCAACTTTGACTTGTCCGTGCATTGCAGCATTCTGCTATCTGGGGCAAACGGTACCCTTGGTGTCAGAATGAACTCGTAGTCTCAAATGGTGTGTTTCTGATCAATGTGTCTTTGATCTGGCAAGGACCATAAGTCATCAATACAGATCCTTGGCCTTTTTTAGGTCTACAGTATTGTCTCGCAGTTTCACAGCGGTTTCTTGTTTGCAGACATGGACATTTTGTTGCTATCTTTCTTCACTGGTTCCCAAAGGCCGACATCCCTATTGATCGTTCCGACACGTAGTTATCACAGATCTTTTAATCAGTGGCATCAATCTTCGATATTTGTGGTACAGTTGAGGACATGTGTTCCTACACCCCTCTGGTAACACGTGTCTCCGAACCGCAACGCCGTAGTAGTAGTATCACTATTTGTGAATGAATGGGTATTGGTCGTGTAACGATGGACGTGATTGGTGAATAGGTTTACTATAGGTTATACTTGTTGGCCGTTTGGAGACACGGGTGACCACAGAAGGTGTAGGAACACATTTCCGAAATTGTATACATACTCATCTGGGATGTAGGCATGGGTGATCTGATTGAGCAACCTGTCCCTTTCAGTTGCAAATGGGTTGCCGTGACTAAGTATGGCCACCCTGATTGTGTCTACTGCGTCTGCTCCTTCTTGACTGCATTCGGTCCAAGGTCATGATGCTCTGTGATCTTGCCATGTTCCATACCGAACTGATTCTTGAACTCTCTAGACAGGCTTGAGAGTTCTGGTGTGGCCATGAAGAATTTCTATCTTGCATTAGCGTTGTTGGAGAGGTCAACGAGACGAGATTGAACCCTCTTCAGATGTTTACATGCTTAGTCTGCACCAATGAATACAAAAGGAATTGGTGCCTGATATGTTGCCTGCCCCAAGTTCTCTCCAGATCTCAGTGTGGTTGGTTCTCAGGTTATACATGTCGGTGTTGTATCGGGGTCAGAGTTGCTTGTACTTGATCCGGTCCATCAAAGAGCAGCTTGCCCAGTGCATCTCCAGCTTCAATATGGAGCATCAGATCAGCATTACGAGATGCTGCCACAAAGAACACGAGTGTGTCTACACGGTGTAGGTAGTTCATCATTGATTTGAACATAGTATTCCTGGATCGCCTGTCTTGGAATTTCTTTACAAAGTCAGCAGTGGTCAAATTTTGCAGTCGGGAGGTGTTGGCTTTTTTTCTCGGATTCTGCCTTTGCCACTAAATATGTATGTTTAGCCGTTAACGGGAAGACACTGGATGGTCTAGAAGCTGAAATATTGAGATAAAGTCCTTCGCCGGTGGTCATATTTGAAAATCCAAAATGGCCGCCATACATACATATTTGCCAGCTGAAGTGGCCGACTAATATAAAAAGGTTGCCGACCCCTGATTTACACGAAGACCGGAACATTTAACCATGAGTGGGCGCCGCCATCACCCGTGTGCCGTAAGCACATGTTCTTGCCCTTAACCATTGATTCTTGACGAGTTAATGGAGCTGGACCATGTAAAAGCTTATGGGGGTCTTAGTAGCGAAAAACCAACTGTCCTTTTTTAATTTATTAGGAAAGTATCTTATATACAGTTCAAGTGTATTTATCACCACAACTTAATCACTGTAGCTATGAGTATTAAATGAGGACGGAGGCCATGTTAGAGTAGCTCTGCTTAATACGTCCGATTGATGTGGGAGTGATCTGAGTAGAGACCCCTCGAGGGAGAACGGAATATATCCAAAGTCCTCCCTCAAGGAAAGTCGGAGCACATCAGGGATGACTCTAAATAACGTCTTCCTCTAGTGAGTGATGCCAAACTACTGCCCGCAATAGATGGCCAGGGAGCCAGTTACTTACTCCTAAAATTTGATACCAAGGATCTGATTAGACAATTTGTACAAGGACTATGTAGTTCACGAGTTCCTAGCTGTAGCATTTATTTCTTATGCATACACTAGGATCATACAGACAGGCTTGTATCATGATTTTTGCAGTTATGATTTTTATTTTTTTGTTTAAATATTTTGCTAAGAAAATATTGCATTATAATTTTACTTTTGGAGGGTTATGGGTGTGGGGTGCAGCACTGTGGATCATGGGGAGCAAATATTCATATTGCCTCGGGCGTTGAATGCCCTGGCGCTGTCTCGGCTTACTTGTAACCTTGGTACATTTGTGAATTTTTTTAAAGTGGGTATTTATTAAATCTTATGAACACGAAGGTAAGTTTTAGATTATGTTATTCATCACTGACAAAGGTCTAGTAGAATTATTATTATTCTTTTCTCTTTTTAAGGTTTCTTAGCTGTCAATACAACTGTCAGGGAAACGAACGTTACCATCATTACCAGCACAACCACCCAGAAAAGACGCCAAGGCTTATGCTTCACTTGGGCTGGCACACACTACAAGTCCTTTGACAACAATATTTACAGGTGAGTCTGACTGACAATGCTGAATTGTTGTACCACATAATAATTGTATTCTTGGTCATATGGAATGGTGGATGTAGAGATAACCTCGTCAACGCTATAGTAGTGACCTACTGGAATTGTGTTGACAGTAAAATGGAAACTAGTTGACAAGATTATCCAAATATGTTACTTTTTCCTTGTTTCTTTGTTATGACATATATATATATATATATATATATATATATATATATATATATATATATATATATATATATATATATATATATATATATATATGCTGATAACCACAAGGGAAGAAGAAAACACGAAGTTCCCAAGCGCTTTCGTGTAATTCACATCTTCAGGGGTGAGTACAGACTAGAGAGAGTAATACAAATCAAGGTGTATATATACAGAGGAGGGTGTGTGTGTCCGCACGAAAATCTCGGAAACTACTTTACCGATCTGTAGTGATGATGGATGGTGTTATATGTAGTGATGATGGATGGTGTTATATGTAGTGATGATGGTGTTATATGTAGTGATGATGTTATTATATGTAGTGATGATGGGTGGTGTTATATGTAGCGATGATCGATGGTGTTATATGTAGTGATGGTGGATGATGTTGTGTAGTGATGATGGAGGATGTTATATGTAGCGATGATGGATGATGTTATATGTAGTGATAATGGATGATGTTATGTGTAGTGATGATGGAGGATGTTATATGTAGTGATGATGGATGGTGTTATATGTAGTGATGATGGAGGGTGTTATATGTAGTGATGATGGGTGATGTTATATGTAGTGATGATGGATGATGTTATATGTAGTGATGATGGGTGGTGTTATATGTAGTGATGATGGGTGGTGTTATATGTAGTAATGATGGATGGTGTTATATGTAGTGATGATGGATGAAGTTATATGTAGTGATGATGGAGGATGTTATATGTAGTGATGATGGATGGTGTTATATGTAGTGATGATGGATGGTGTTATATGTAGTGATGATGGATGGTGTTACATGTAGTGATGATGGATGAAGTTATATGTAGTGATGATGGATGAAGTTATATGTAGTGATGATGGATGGTGTTACATGTAGTGATGATGGATGGTGTTATATGTAGTGATGATTAGACAATAAAAAAATAACAGCTTAATGCTAAAAAAAATATACTTTGCTGTACTGTTGTAGTGGAACTTACATACACCGTTAATGAAATATTGATGGAAGAAGTAGTTTTGGGAATTGAACAGTGAGACAATGTGGAGCTTCCCGGCGGGTGTCGTCCTACCGTGGCCTAGCGAATGAGCCGCCCGGACCAAACTTGGCATGGATAGCAAGTGTTTCTTTGTTTCTCTCATTGACAGTTCTATGTTAGATGCTCCAGATTGGGAACTGTCAAAAATCTGTACACACTTGCTGCTAATGGCAAAACCAAAAATGTTGTCTACCCTAATGCACTACAGTGAGATGATGTGGAGCCTCCCGGAGGGTGGCGTCCTTCCGTGTGTGTCCACACGAGAATCTCGGTACTACTTTACTGATCTGTAGTGATGATGGATGGTGTTATATGTAATGATGATGGATATTGTTATATGTAGTGATGATGGGTGGTGTTATATGTAGCGATGATAGATGGTGTTATATGTAGTGATGATGGATGTTGTTATATGTAGTGATGATGGATGATGTTATATGTAGTGATGATGGGTGGTGTTATATGTAGTGATAATTAGACACTAAAGTAACAGTTTAATGCTAAAAAAAATATACTTTGCTGTACCGTTGTAGTGAAAAACATGGTGGAACTTACATACACCATTAATGACCTATTGGTGGAAGAAGTTGTTTTAGGGACTGAAGAGTGAGACAATGTGGAGCCTCCCGGAGGGTGGCGTCCAACCGGTGCCTAGCGGATGAACTCGGATCTCGAAGAAATGAGAAATGCAGAGAGACCTGGTATAAGAGCTTGGACTCTTATAACATTACTTTAACTTTAATACTGACCTGTGGTAGCGTGACTCGAGGGTTAGGCCCATGGGTATATGTAATTTTGGTATCAAGTAACAGGAAGGAATAACGGTGAACAGCTGCAGGTGAATAATAGACCCAACATACAAATACAATGGTTTATTAAAAACACAAAATGGTTATTAAAATGACGTTATATTAATGAACAAAAAAGAACTCGCTTTGTACTATGGCCCTAAGGCCCAATTTACTTACACCCCGACTGGGTGTACATACACAATAACACACATGAACTCTCACAGCACCTTAGCACCATTAAAACCCATGGCAGTGACGCCAGTTACCACACCTGCTTGCTCAAGCAGAACCAGACATAACACTCAACAGCATCAGGAGTAATACTCAAGCGGCAGCCATGGTAGTCTCCTCACCACGTGGCACCTTCCAACAAATTCCGATAATTCCGGTGGAATAACACACCACCAAATAGCCCTACTGAGTCATGGACTCCTCCACCAATGATGGGGGCTGGTAGTTGTTTGTGGGGCCTGATGATCCGGTGTCACCACGTGGGCAGTTAGCGTTAGGGGGAGGCTGGCCAGCTATGGGGCCCATAGGTGGTAGTGGATTCTTGACGCTCGGGATTCACGGAGTTAACTGATTCTATGGCCTTCATCCACCTCCCAAACAGTGGATGCGTCATCCAAGCTACAGACATTGCCTTGGCTCTGACAGGGACCTGTGGGGTGAGGATCGGTGAGCATACCAACGGTTGAAAACGAACATCAACGTTTCAAAAGGACGTTAAGGACGTAAAAATACTTCACTCAAAGCACATCAGCTACGTTACTGTAACACTTGCACAATCAAACTATTAATTAGGTCAAATCACTTAAAATAGCAAGTTACAACTTGAGGGGTGGAATGACATACCTGCGGGGTGAGGATCAGTGATCGTACTAACGGTTTGAAAAGCACCCTCCACCCACGCTAAGTCACAAATTCTACTTGCTCGACCATTTCACTGCATTACGTTACTGTACACTCTGATGTTTGAAACTGAGACTACGAACTCGATTTCATTCACACACATATGCTCTGACTGAGCTATCAAAGGCAAGAATTAAATTGATCACAAAAGGTCTGCATGGCAATCCCGGTGTGCGGAGCCTAAGCGAGTAGCGTCCTACTACATCCACCAAGAAGCAGGTCTAAATGTTCCCTTTCAGGTAAATTAACTAATTCCATAGTTAACATCCTTCCAACAATTTCACTATGAGTATCAGGGTCTCTGATATTCATAAGTGAAAAGGGGTTACAAGGTCTCGGTAGGAGAAAGAGTTTACAAACTTGGTCAACAAAAATACGGCACCTGTATGACGTCATCAAAGAAACAGAGAAAATGGTGGACGTTTCCACTGGGAGACTCAGACGGTTTTGTGGATGTGTAGCGTAATCTGAATCATTAGGTTTTAACAGGCTGGCCGTCATTACGATCATGATAAATCCCCCCCGTTCCCCAAGATTCATATTATGCGGCAACGTTCAGAAAACATGTAAGTAGTTACATACACATTAAATGATTAATACAAAATATACTTAACCATACACAAATAATTCACATACATTATACCAATAAAAATAGAAAAATAATTCCCTACTGGTGGTCTGAATTGGGCAAAAGAAATGGAAATCTGTTAACATACATATAAAATGTGACAAACCTTCATAAAAAAATATTGGGATACATACATCATGACATAATGGCACCAAAAATAATAATACATGGGGTTACAGATGCAACATATCATGCAATAATAATAAATGGTGTTACAGATACAACATACCATACAATAAATCATGTTACATATTACAAAATACTCCCTCATATTGGTAGATAAAGTGCACACCCAAAAATATTTACTTACAGAACTCAAATTTTAATATTCATAGGTAACAGGAAAGTTTCTTTAAAGCAATTAGTCAAATGCTTACAGGACACCTTGAGATTTAACATAGATTTCTCAAGCTAGAATATAGATGAACGGACCCCATCAAGTTGAAGGAATGATTTGTTTGACTTTATTCTAAAGAGTCGTGTCGCACTCGCGAGAGGCAGCAACATTCGAGGGATTCCGAACGAGCGGGTATTCCCAAGAATCCAATGCAAAACGAAACCGTCCTTATGAGAACACAACCAAACCAAAAACTGTCTGTACTTATGGCATTTGCCATGTACTGTAGAAGTATCGGCGCCATGCTTCCATGCCCGGTACTCGCCTGAAAGCCTCGAACTCTACACCAACAACAAGCCTACGTAGGACTTACAAACCAGAACTTGAGAACTCACAACTGGTATCTTTACTCAAACTACAGAAGTAACAGATACCCATCAGATGATTGCATAACTGCCAATCCATCTTCCAATTTCTGTCTTTACTGCAAATTGACAATCCCTTTATAAAATACTTTCAATAAAAAAAAATCCTCAATTCTTTCTTTTTTCTCTCCATTTTTTTTTTTTACTTCTTATTATCAAAAGTTACCTCCAACAGATTATGCACTTCACTATCAACTACACATCAACACCCAAGGAGGTTCACTTTAAAAGCCCACTGCTTCTTAAAGATCCAGTCTCACCACTGGCTTTCTCCTCCTTTACCCATGGCTTTAGCGAGTTTAGCTCGAAGAGCTTGGACTTCCGTTGCTAGCTACCCGCGGTTTTGGTTGCCACGGTCCCCTGATCCGCGTTAGCATCTGCCATCGCGTTACAAAAAATTAACAACTACAACCAACTGTAGCTACAACATCATGCACAGTACACACTCAAAGACACAAGGACTGGGACTCGACTGACTTTCTGCAAGACGACTTAACATTCAAGGCATCAACTGCTCAAAATACTGTTCAGAGTATTAATCTCCCAAAAATATGATAATATTGCATGAGAATATCCTGAGACAATTTTATTTAAAGGCTTCACAGGTGAATATACTTTTTCCGGGCACATTTACTGTACCTACTCCAAACAATGGTA